TTGAAAAAAAGGATTATTATTATTACTCAGTTCACTGTTTGCTCATCTGAGGACATAATAAAAAAGGGATAATAATAATCTGGCCTGCTGGGCACAGTGGCTGACACCTATAATCCCAGCACTTTGGGAGGCCAAGGCAGGCAGATCACTTGAAGTCAGCAGTTCAAGACCAGCCTGGACAGCATGGTGAAACCCCATCTCTACTAAAAATACAAAAATTAGCCAGGCGTGGTGACGTGTGCCTGTAATCCCAGCTACTTGGGAGGCTGAGGCAGGAGAATTGCTGGAACCTGGGAGATGGAGGTTGCAGTGAGCCGAGATCACGCCACTGCACTCCAGCCTGGGTGACAGAACTAGACTCTATCTCCAAAATAATAATAGTAATAATAAAATACCAATAAAATAATAATCTGGCCTACTGACTTTATAAGGATGTTTTGTGGAATAGCAATGAGATAATGGATGGGGAATCATAAAAGCCAGGCTCTACATGATAGAAGGGACAGCAGAGATTGCATCCATGACAGTGGCTTCCCAAGGCTCCCATCGTCTCCCTCAAGTTTGATATTAATATTGCTGACAGGAGGGGGGGAGGTTGGGGGACACAGGGGACCCAGGGACACTGTGTCCCAGTAATTAAACATGTCGGGACTGAAGCACTGCCAGCAGCAGCATCTGGTTGCAATTACCAGAGGGAACCAAAGTGATTAGTCACCTTTATAGTGAGAGCCAGGCAGGAACCCTGGGCTCCTCTCTGGAAGGGGCTTCTAACCAAGCTTAGAGTCCCCTTTCCCTGCCCCCACCCCATTTCTGGGAGTTCCCTGGTCCTCAAACAATAGCTCTGGCCCCAAAACTCCTCCATGTTCCCAAAGTCCCAGCCCACTGGGTGAGACATTGACTGAAAGGAATACTGTGACTTCTCCCAGTGCCCTATTACTTCTAATGTTTCTAGGGGCCAGATGAGGCTTCTCTGGTATAAAATCGGTTGAAGCCAAAAATTAGATTTAAAAAATAATTTAACATCTCTGAACTTCAATTTATTTATCTTTAAAATGAGGGTATTGGGCCAGCCATGGTGGCTAATGCCTGTAATCCTAGCACTTTGGGAGGCCAAGGTGGGCAGATCACTTGAGGTCAGGAGTTCAAGACCAGCCTGGCCAATATGGTGAAACCCTGTCTCTACAAAAATACAAAAAATCAGCCAGGCATCTTGGTGTGCATCTGTAGTCCCAGATACTCGGAAGACTGAGGCAGGAGAATCACTTAAACCCAGGAGGTGGAGGTTGTAATGAGTTGAGATCGAGTCACTGCATTCTTCACTCTATTCTGGTGACAGAGCAAGACCCTGTCACAAAAAACAGGTGGGTATCAAGAGTTACCTGTGGGCTGAGCACAGTGGCTCACGCCTGTAATTCCAGCACTAGGGGAGGGTGAGGTGGGTGGATCACCTGAGGTCAGGAGTTTAGGACCAGCCTAGCCAACATGGCAAAACCTCATCTCTACTAAAAATACAAAAATTAGCCGGACGTGGTGGTGCACCTGTAATCCCAGCTACTCAGGAGGCTGGAGTGTAGTGGCGCGATCTCGGCTCACTGCAACCTCCACCTCCTGGGTTCAAGTGATCTCTTGCTTCAGCCACCTGAGTAGCTGGGACTACAGGTGGGTGCCACCATGCTCAGCTAATTTTTTGTATTTTTAGTAGCGACAGAGTTTCATAGCCAGGATGGTGAACAGAGGAGAACCTCTTGAACCTGGTAGGCGGAGGTTCCAGTGAGCTGAGATCTCACCACTGCACTCCAGCCTGGGTGACAGAGCAAGACCCCATCTCAACTTAAAAAGTAAAAAGGGTTACTTTCGGCCAGGTGTGGTGAGTCACACCTGCAATCCCAGCACTTTGGGAAGCCAAGGCGGGCAGATCACTTGAGTCCAGAAATTTGAGATCAGCCTGGGAAGCACAGCGAGACCCTGTCTCTACAAAAAAATACAAAAATTAGCTGGGCATGGCGATGTGCACATATAGTTTCAGCTACTTGGGAGGGTGAGGTGGGAGGATCATCTGAGCTCTATGATCATGCCATTGCACTCCAACCTGGGCAGCAGGTGAGACTCTGTCTCAAAAACCAACAATGAAAACCAGTACCTTCCTAGCATTATTGTCAAGATAAATGACACATAAATGCAATGCAGTACAAAAGCCAGAGTCTAGTTGACTGGAATAAGTGCTTAAAAAAATAGCTATTATTGGCTGGGGGCAGTGGCTCATTCCTGTAATCCCAGCACTTTGGGAGGCTGAGGCAGGTGAATCACAAGGTCAGGAGATCGAGACCATCCTGGCTAACACAGTGAAATCCTGTCTTTACTAAAAGTACAAAAAACCAGCCGGGCATGCTAGTGGTGGCACGTGCCTGCAGTCCCAGATATTCGGGAGGCTGAGGCAGGAGAATTGCTTGAACCTGGGAGGTAGAGATCACAGTGAGTCCAGGTGGCACCACTGCACTCCAGCCTGGGGGACAGAGCAAGACTCTGCCAAAAAAAAAAAAAAGCTGTTATTAATAGTTGCCATTAATAGTTGATCACTTTATGCAATTTACTTCATCTACTCTCCAGCAAGAGTCCTGTGAGGTAAGCACTATCATTATCCCTGTTTAGAGTTTCAGAGAGGTTTAGAGGCTTCCCAAGATCACACAATATATAAATAGGAGAACCAAGATGCAAAACCAGGTCTGTTTGTCTCTAGAATCCTTGCTCTTTACCAGGCCACGTATAGAGACGTCATGGTTATTCAATTCATTCATTTATTCACTCTCTGAGCTTACAAAATGCTTAAGAAGTGGTAAGATAGGCAGGGCGCAGTGCTCATGCCTGTAATCCCAGCACTTTGGGAGGCCGAGGTGGGAGGATCATGAGGTCAGGAGTTCGAGACCACCCTGACCAACATGGTGAAACCCCTTTTTACTACTAAAAATACAAAAATTAGCCAGGTGTGGTGGCACGTGCCTGTAATCCCAGCTACTCAGGAGGCCGAGGCAGGAGAATTGCTTGAACCCAGGAGACGGAGGTTGCAGTGAGCCAAGATCACACCACTGCACTCCAGCCTGGGCAACAGAGTCAGACTCTGTCTCAAGAAAAAGAAGTGATAAGACAATCCTTCTCTTTAAAGAACTCATAGTCTAATGGAGAAGGCAGGTTATGTCGACAAATAACCACAACTCAAGGTAGAAATGATGATTTTTGTAAATAAAGGCTAGTTAGAGATTCATTTATTCATACAACACATACTGAGATCTGCTGTGTGCTGGGCCCTATGCCAAGCACTGGGTATAATTGAAAGATAAATATGGTACAGTTTAGTTATAATCTAATGGGAGAGACAGGTATGTAAAGAAATTATTATAGTTATAAGGAATGAAGTTATGATTTTAAAATATGAAAAAATACAGAGTGGAAGAAATGAACTGTGTTGGCGTAGCGGGCAGAGGCAGAGACTGAATAAACTTTCAGCTGCCAAAAAATGTAAAAGGAGCACAGAAAATGAGTCATGGCAGCTCAGGTGGGTATGCATTTTCTGGGGGATGCAAGAAGGCTTCATGGAGGAGGTGGCACGTGGGTTAGCACTTGTTTGATGGGTAGCTTTTAGTAAAGGGAGAGTAGAACAAGAGAGAGCCTGGAGGCCTAGAAGCCAGTTACAGGGGAGAATCGTATAGCAGGACAAGCAGTGAGGAGGACAGGGCAGTGATGGTGGCAATGAGGAGGGAGTGGTGGGAGGCATGCCAGAGAGGACTGGTGCAGTGGGAATAAGTCTATGTTTTTAAATTTTTTATTTTATCAATATTATTTATTGGCTGGGCACAGTGGCGCACATCTGTAATGCCAGCACTTCAGGAGGTCGAGGCGGGCAGATCACCTGAGGTCAGGGATTTGAGACCAGCCTGACCAACAACATGGTGAAACCCCATGTCTACTAAAAATACAAAATTAGCGGGGTGTGGTAGGGCACTCCTGTAATCCCAGCTACTGGGGAGGCTGAGACAGGAGAATCCCTTGAACCTGGGAGGCGGAGGTTGCAGTGAGCTGAGATCGTGCCATTGCACTCTAGCCTAGGCAACAAGAGTGAAACTCTGTCTCGCCGGGCGCGGTGGCTCAAGCCTGTAATCCCAGCACTTTGGGAGGCCGAGGCGGGTGGATCATGAGGTCAAGAGATCGAGACCATCCGGTCAACATGGTGAAACCCCGTCTCTACTAAAAATACAAAAAATTAGCTGGGCATGGACTACGTGCCTGTAGTCCCAGCTACTCAGGAGGCTGAGGCAGGAGAATTGCCTGAACCCAGGAGGCGGAGGTTGTGATAAGCCGAGATCGCGCCATTGCACTCCAGCCTGGGTAACGTGAGTGAAACTCCGTCTCAAAAAAACAAAACAAAACAAAACAAAAAACAAACAAACAAACAAAACACTATCTACACAAAAAACACAAAAATTAGCCCCTCATGGTGGTGCATGCCTGTAGTCCCAGCTATGCGGAGGGCTGAGGCAGAAGGATCGCTTGAGCCCCAGAGTTCCAGGCTGCAGCCAGCAGAGACCACTGCACTCCAGCCTGGGTGAGAGGGAGACCCTGTCTCAAACAATAAAAATAATTAAAAAAAAAAAAATAGGCCGGGCGCGGTGGCTCAAGCCTGTAATCCCAGCACTGTGGGAGGCCGAGGCGGGTGGATCACGAGGTCAAGAGATCGAGACCATCCTGGTCAACAAGGTGAAACCTCGTCTCTACTAAAAATACAAAAATTAGCTGGGCATGGTGGCACGTGCCTGTAATCCCAGTTAAGCAGGACGCCACCATGCCCATCTAATTTTTGTCTTTTTAGTCGAGACCAGAGTGGCCAACGTGGTGAAACTCTGTCTCTACTAAAAATACAAAAATTAGATGGGCATGGTGGTGCACACCTGTAGGCCCAGCTGCTCTGGAGGCTGAGGCAGGAGGGTCATTTGAACCCAGGAGGCGGAGGTTACACTGAAACAAGATCGCACCAGTGTACTCCAGCCTGGGAGACGGAGCAAGACTCCATTTCAAAAAAGAAAAAAAAGAAGGAAGCCTACCTAACTATTGCTTCTCCCCGCCATCCTTCTCACAGCATGACAAGTGTTATTGTAATGAAATGTGCAGAGGGAGTAATTGGCTTTGTCTGGGGATCAGGAAAGGTTTCCCAAAGGAGGCGAATTTTCAGCTAAACTTCTCAGGATGTGGAGTGCTTCCTCCAGTTGTGGGAGAGAGAGAGGAGGATATTTCAGGTGAAGCAAACAGCTTTCCCCACTGTGGTAAGTTGCTCAGGGGCTCTACAGCACAGGTTCCTAAGAGCAAGGGAGCTTCCATACTTCCATGAGGCACTTAAAGAAACCCATGAGTTTAGGCGGAATTCAGACCTTCCACAGCTACCGAAAAAGCCTCGTGTGGGAGATCGCTTTTCCAGCTTCCTGTAGGGGTCGCTGTTGCCCCAGATTCAGCCAGTCTATTCTAAGAAAACTCTTGAGGACGTCTTTGCTGGGGTGGTGGTGGGGTGCACCCTGGACCTGCCACCATCCAAGGAGTGGCTTAAGGGTGGCAGTGCTCCCAAGCCTGAAGAATATGCACTCAGTCAATGGCATTTGGGAGTAGGGAGGGGGTGTAGCTGGCACTGATATTTTTCAGTCTCTGGGTCACCACAAGTTTATTAAAATAAAAGAAACTGGGTAAATGCTGCCATCTGTGCTGTCCCCACTACTAATACAAACAGGCACACACACCCACAGACACACATACACACACACACACACACACACACACACCCCAAGTCCCAGACTAGACGCAGGAGTTGAAACTGCTTTAAAAACCCTCTAAGGACTTAACTACAAACCCACATTCCCCATGCTTCTGGGGCTTAAGATCTTTGAGCTCATTCTTCAGCATCTCTCCTTGGGAAGGTGGGGTGGGCTGCTCCACGAGGTGGAGGTGAAGACCCCTGAGTCTGCTCCGTGGAGGGGGAGGCCCCCTAAGCCTAGAGTCCCACTGTGGGGCTCTGTGCCAAGAGCCCCCGTGAGCCATAGCCTCGAAAGGGCAGCGGTGATTTTTTTCACATAAATATATCGCACTTAAATGAGTTTAGACAGCATGACATCAGAGAGTAATTAAATTGGTTTGGGTTGGAATTCCGTTTCCAATTCCTGAGCTCAGGTTTGTAAAAGATTTTTCTGAGCACCTGCAGGCCTGTGTGTGTGTGTGTGTGTGAAGTATTTTCACTGGAAAGGATTCAAAACTAGGGGGAAAAAAAACTGGAGCACACAGGCAGTATTACGCCATTCTTCCTTCTTGGAAAAATCCCTCAGCCTTATACAAGCCTCCTTCAAGCCCTCAGTCAGTTGTGCAGGAGAAAGGGGGCGGTCGGCTTTCTCCTTTCAAGAACGAGTTATTTTCAGCTGCTGACTGGAGACGGTGCGCGTCTGGATAGAGAGCATTTCCACTATGGGACTGGATACAGACACACGCCCGGCAGACTTCAAGAGTCTCAGACTGAGGAGAAAGCCTTTCCTTCTGCTGTTACTGCTGCTGCCGCTGCTTTTGAAAGCCCACTCCTTTCATGGTTTTTCCTGCCAAACCAGAGGCACCTTCGCTGCTGCCGCTGTTCTCTTTGGTGTCATTCAGCGGCTGGCCAGAGGATGAGACTCCCCAAACTCCTCACTTTCTTGCTTTGGTACCTGGCTTGGCTGGACCTGGAATTCATCTGCACGGTGTTGGGTGCCCCTGACTTGGGCCAGAGACCCCAGGGGGCCAAGCCCGGATTGGCCAAAGCAGAGGCCAAGGAGAGGCCCCCTCTGGCCCAGAATGTCTTCAGGCCAGGGGGTCACGGCTATGGTGGGGGGTCCACCAATGCCAATGCCAGGGCAAAGGGAGGCACCGGGCAGACAGGAGGCCTGACACAGCCCAAGAAGGATGAACCCAAAAAGCTGCCCCCAAGACTGGGTGGCCCTGAACCCAAGCCAGGACACCCTCCCCAAACAAGGCAGGCTACAGCACGGACTGTGACCCCAAAAGGACAGCTTCCCGGGGGCAAGCCACCCCCAAAGGCAGGATCTGTCCCCAGCTCCTTCCTGCTGAAGAAGGCCAGGGAGCCTGGGCCCCCTCGAGAGCCTAAGGAGCCGTTCCGCCCGCCCCCCGTCACACCCCACGAGTACATGCTCTCGCTGTACAGGACGCTGTCCGATGCTGACAGAAAGGGAGCCAACAGCAGCGTGAAGTTGGAGGCTGGCCTGGCCAACACCATCACCAGCTTTATTGACAAAGGGCAAGGTGAGGGGGCGGGGTGGCAGGGGCACGGCTCAGAGGGAGGGGCATCTGCATGAATGGAGGGGCTTTCAGAGCCCTGGCACAGCCCTGGTGGGAGACACTGTGTGCATCTGGCCCAGGGTGGGTGTCTGGGGACACTGACACATAGCGGATTCCAGGCTGCCTGCACATCAGCACTGGAAGGCACCTAGGAATAACCAGGTCCTATGCCTGCAAGGTGCAGAGTGGGCACTAAAGCCGGAGAGGAGACAAGACCTGCCAGTTGGTGGCAGAGTTGGAGACCAGATTCCAAGACTTGATTACCCAGCTGTGCATCTGTACCTGCTGGGCTGGCCCAACTTTCCAGGCTCCAAGGGTTTGTAGGTGGTCTCAGATGGCAGAGAAATAAATGAGTCTTGAGCTCCCCATGGTTCTGCAACTTTTCCCTCAGGCAAGGGGATAAAGGAGGCGAGATAGGTGCACACAGTAAACGGGGCATCTTGGGGTCATGGAATGACGTTCGGATACATGGGGAGGGAGTAGCCTAGGGTCTGCCTCACAGTGTGACCTTGGGAAAGCCCCTTCTCACTTGGGGTCTCCGTTTTCCCATCTGTACACCTACATGGGGTTGGACAGGGTGGTTTCTGAGAGCCCTTCCAACACAAAAACTTTAGTTCCTGTCCTGAACATGCCTTGTTCTCCTCATTAACCTGGGAGAATACCTGCTCCCCTCTGTCTCTCTCCGCCCACTTAGTGTTACTGTTGCAGGTTTTCCTCTCCATTTGCTGTGGTATCTAAGCAAGTCCCTCCCCCTCTCAGGGCCTCAGTTTCTTTCTAGTGTGAAGAGGGAGGTGGGCTGTTGGTCACTTAAGATGCCTGCATCTCATTTGCTTTGGTTCCCGAGTCCTAGGCTGGCAGCGTGGGGGAGGGGTCAGAGGGTGGGAGAGGCTCCTCATTAGAGCTGGCCTGGAGGGGGCTGCCAGGGGGCGGGGGAGGCACAGAGGCAGCAGGTCTGGCTGAGGTGGGGGAGGTGGCCTGGCTGCCTGCCCAGCCAGGGAAAGCTGTGACCCCTTGGGGGCTCATAAAATAAGTCCTTGTGTCCCCCAGCACTAAGGGAGCGTGGAGTGGGGGAGATGGGGAGTTTAAAGGCCTAATTAGTCACCTTCTAGAGTACTATATGAAAGTTCCCCAATGCCAAATTGGTATTTAGGAAGGACAGCATGCTGATTCAGAGATACTACTGAGCTTCTCACACACACACACATAGCCTTATGTTTATACTCATGCGCTGAATCACACAAGTACATGCATACTGAATCACACACGTACGCATGTGCACACACACCTTCTTACATACACACACAAGATCGATCATACACATTATACATCTATGTGCCCTTCAAATAGTCACACAAGCCCAATCATGTATACTTTTTATACTCATACATGAACCCAATCTGACACAGACATACAAACTGTCACACTCACACACTCAGGAGGGTAAAACACATAGGCAACAAAATCCTTACACTGGGAAGCCAGGAAAACTGGGCTGTATGTCTGTGTGGACCAGCTTTATCATTAACTTGCTGTGTGACCTTAGATAAGTCACTCCCTATCTCTGTGCCTCATCTGTAAAACGACACTAAGGTCTCCTTTAAGGGATGGTGGAAACAGCTGAGAATTGGGTATAAAAAAACTGTAGGTGGTGGCTTATGCCTGTAATCCTAACACTTTGGGAGGCCGAGGTGGGCAGATCATCTGAGATCAGGAGTTCAAGACCAGCCTGGCCAACATGGTGAAACGCCGCCTCTGTTAAAAATACAAAGCATAGACCATCATCATGGCAGGTGCCTGTAATCCCAGCTACTTGGGTGGCTGAAACAGGAGACTCACTTGAACCAGAGGTTGCAGTGAGCCGAGATTGCGCCATTGCACTTCAGCCTGAGTGACAGAGCAAGACTCCATCTCAAAAAGAAAAAAGCTCTAGGCTAGAGTTCCAACTCTGTTTTTTCCTAGCTGGGTGACCTTGAGCAAGTCATCTAACTTTTCTGAACCTTGGGATTCTCCTTTGGAAAAATGTGTAATTTTTTTTGAGCCAGGGTCTCGCTCTGTTGCCCAGGCTGGAGTGCAGTAGCATGTTCACAGCCCAGTGCAGCCTCAACCTCCCTGGACTCAGGCAATCCTCCCACCTCAGCCTCCTGAGTAGCTGGGACTATATGTGCACGCCACCATGCTCAGCCAATTTTTGTATTTTTTGTAGAGACATGGTGTCACCATGTTTTGCAGGCTGGTTTCGAACTCCTGAGCTCAAGCAGTCCACCCACCTCAGTCTCCCAAAGTGCTGGGATTACAGATGTGAGCCACTGTACCCAGTCAACGGGAGTGATTTTAATGCCCACTCCACCAACGTGAAATGAGATATCACGTTAGCTTGTGGCTGGGAGAGAGAGAGGTAGAAGGCAGTTACAAGGCTGGTAAATCTCTGATACACATAGATCATGACACAAACACCAGAATCACTCCAATCATACCCACCCACATCTGCAGATGAACACCCCTACTTGATTGACTGTGTAGGAAGTGCCCTCATTTTGAAAAAGGCTCTCAGTGGTTTGGTTCTTGGCTTCTGTCAGAATAGGGCAGAGGTGAGAGAAAGCTCTCTGGAGGGAGAGAGAGCTGGGGCCTTCCCCCGCAGCCTCGAGGTGACTGGCTGGCTCCCTTGGTGAGATCGTAGGGAATGACTTCTGGGTGTTCTCTCTAGATGACCGAAGTCCCGTGGTCAGGAAGCAGAGGTACGTGTTTGACATTAGTGCCCTGGAGAAGGATGGGCTGCTGGGGGCCGAGCTGCGGATCTTGCGGAGGAAGCCCGCGGACACCACCAAGCCAGCGGCCCCCGGAGGCGGGCGGGCTGCCCAGCTGAAGCTGTCCAGCTGCCCCAGCGGCCGGCAGCCGGCAGCCTTGCTGGATGTGCGCTCCGTGCCAGGTCTGGATGGATCTGGCTGGGAGGTGTTCGACATCTGGAAGCTCTTCCGAAACTTTAAGAACTCGGCCCAGCTGTGCCTGGAGCTGGAGGCCTGGGAACGGGGCCGGGCCGTGGACCTCCGTGGCCTGGGCTTCGATCGTGCCGCCCGGCAGGTCCACGAGAAGGCCCTGTTCCTGGTTTTTGGCCGCACCAAGAAACGGGACCTGTTCTTTAATGAGATTAAGGCCCGCTCCGGCCAGGATGATAAGACTGTGTACGAGTACCTGTTCAGCCAGCGGCGAAAACGGCGGGCCCCACTGGCCACTCGCCAGGGCAAGCGACCCAGCAAGAACCTCAAGGCTCGCTGCAGTCGGAAGGCCCTTCATGTCAACTTCAAGGACATGGGCTGGGACGACTGGATCATCGCACCCCTTGAGTACGAGGCCTTCCACTGCGAGGGGCTGTGCGAGTTCCCTCTGCGCTCCCACCTGGAGCCCACGAACCATGCAGTCATCCAGACTCTGATGAACTCCATGGACCCTGAGTCCACACCACCCACCTGCTGTGTGCCCACGCGGCTCAGTCCCATCAGCATCCTCTTCATTGACTCTGCCAACAACGTGGTGTATAAGCAGTATGAGGACATGGTCGTGGAGTCATGTGGCTGCAGGTAGCAGCACTGGCCCTCTGTCTTCCCGGGTGGCACATCCGGAGAGCCCCTTCCTGCACTCCTGGAATCACAGAGGGGTCAGGAAGCTGTGGCAGGAGCATCTCCACTGCTTGCGTGAAAGGGGATTCCAACAGGCTTGCTGGCTCTGTGAGTGTGACTTGGGCTAAAGGCCTCCTTTTATCCACAAGTTCCCCTGGCTGAGGATTGCTGCCTGTCTGCTGATGTGACCAGTGGCAGGCCCAGGTCCAGGGAGACAGACTCTGAATGGGACTGAGTCCCAGGAGACAGTGTTTTCCGATGAGACTCAGCCCACCACTTCTCCTCACCTGGGTCTCCTAGGCCTCTGGCCTCTCCTAAGCACCTCTCAGGAGAGCCACAGGTGTCACTGCCTCCTCAAATCACCTTTGTGCCTGGTGACTTCCTGTCCCTGCAACAGATGAGAAGCTGATTGGGCAAGGGTGGGAGAGAAGGGGAGAGGGCTTGGACAGGGTTGAGGAGTGTGAGGCTGTTAGACTGTTAGATTAAAATGTATATTGATGAGATAAAAAGCAAAACTGTGCCTAAAACTGTGGCAAATTTCTTGTTTACTCCAGGGGACCCAGTGACCCCATGAATAATTACTGATCCGGAGGGGGGAGTTGGGTTGCTTCACGTATAAACTCAGTTTCCAGAGCCCCATCCCCACTCCTGCTCCTGGAAACTGAAGCAGAATGGGACAGAGAGTATGGCTTAGCAGGGCCAGGGCTCACCTCTAACCCCATTCCTGTTCCTTCCAAAGGCCCCTGGGTCTCGAGCTCTGTTTGCTCCATTGGGGCCTGGCAACAGAATTAGATTTTCTTCTTGGCATTCCTTAGTCAAGTTAGTTGTTTTCAAAATGGATCCCTAAAAACGCACGAAATTGGGGATTTCGTTTCTTCTAAAATCATTCCTACTTCATTCACCAATATCTGCCTGCCCCTGCCACCCCCACCCATACTCACAGAATTACCTGGGCACCATTGAAAGAGTTCTCTGCCTGGCTTGGTGGCTCATGCCTGTAATCTCAGCACTTTGGGAGTCTGAGGTGGGCAGATCACGAGGTCAGGAGTTTGAGACCAGCCTGGCCAATATGGTGAAACTCATCTCTGCTAAAAATACGAGAATTAGCTGGACGTGGTGGTGGTGGGCACCTGTAGTCCCAGCTACCCGGGAGGCTGAGGTAGGAGAATCGCCTGAACCTGGGAGGCAGAGTTTGCAGTGTGCTGAGATAGTGCCACTGCACTCCAGCCTGGGCGACAGAGCAAGACTCCATCTCAAATAAATAAATAAATAAAGAGTCCTTCCCTCTCTCTCTCTCTTTCTTTCTCTCCCCCCCACCCCCCCCAGGGAATCTGGGCTGCCAGGGCTCTCCTCCTCCCTGTTGGGGCATCTCCTCTCACCACCAACCACTGTTCCTCAGATGACCTTGCCTGTGGCCCTGTTGCCCTCCAGCTTGGCACCCTCACTACTCCTCACTGCTTGCCCATCAGCCCCCAGCTTCCAAAACAGAATTGGAGCCCCTGCCTTTATGTTACATGTTATATAAATACATAATTATACATCAGATAAATAAGCTCCCACTAACCTCAGACAGACCAAGGCCAGGCACATCCTTACAATGTTTCCTGCTTGGGGCTTGGCCTAGAGTAAATGCCCACTTCCTTTTCTCAGCTGGAATGGTAGGGGAGGCACAGGACGCAGAGTTTTGGGAGAGGAACACAGCCCTCTGGTGGGGAAACAGGCACCTGGGTGCCTTGGGCTGAGGGCTCCAGTTCTACCTGGCTGAAGAGACACAGGGAGAACCAGGAGCAGGCTAAGCCTCCACTTCCCACCCAGAGGGCCTCAGCATTTCCCCCCACCTCTCTCCAGCTGGGTCTTTGATTCCCGGGGCTCCTCGCCAAAGCTGTTTCAACAAGAAGGACTCCTGCCCAGCCATGGGCAGACCTTGTGCGCTTTCCCTCTAGGCCTGAAGCTTGGGTTGTCAGGACTTGAACCAAGAGCACAGTGAGGGGGGAGCCTACCTTTGAGCTGCCTCCCTGGCCTGGAGGCCATTACCTGTCTCCGAGGGACCAGACTGAGCCTGGAGCCTCCCCTCGCTGGCTGGGCTTTGCTGTGTTTGGCTAGTGGTGGGCCTGGCAGCTCTGGAGGTAAACAAAGGAGCCGCCATGGCAGACAGAACACTGATTTGTGTGAGGGGAGAATGGCCTGGAAGGGAGGTGCTGGGGAAGCCAAGGAGGGAGCTGGGGATCCAGGGAAAGCAGTGGAGAAGCCGGGGGGCCAGAAACCCAAGGGCAGAGAGACAAGATGAAGGGGTCACAGGTGGGCCTGGCTCCCACAGGGACTTATCTCCTGGGATGCGTGTCCCTGATTTCTTGGAAAGTTCTGAGTGAGGCTGGGCACGGTGGCTCATTCCTGTAATCCTAACACTTTGGGAGGCCAAGGTGGGTGGATTGCCTGAGCTCAGGAGTTCGAGTCCAGCCTGGGGAACACGGTGAAAACCCATCTCTACTAAAAATACAAAAAATAAGCCAGGCGTGGCAGGGTGCACCTGTAATCCCAGCTATTCGGGGGACTGAGGCAGGAGAATCACTTGAACCCAGGAGGCGGAGGTTGCAGTAAGCTGAGATTGTGCCATTGCATTCCAACCTGGGTGACAAAGTGAGACCCCCATCTCAAAAAAAAAAAAAAAAGAAAGAAAGTTCTGACTGAACTGGAGCTTCTCTCTGCCTTAGCCCTGTTAGAGAGGTTCGGGTCATCTGAGCCACAGTGCTCCTCTTGCTGAAGGCCTGGGCTTCCAATGGACTGTTTGAATCCACACCCTAGGAGTTTCCTTTACCACCTCAACCTGCCCCAGGGCTTTCTTTTGGACTGTGAACCCTCCTGTCTTTTCCCACTCAGATTCTGGGGATGTGATCAGGGCATCCAAGCTAACCACTGGATCTATTCAACTGCCTCCTTGGAAAACACTCTCCCCCAGCCACCCACCTCCAGCCACAACCATAACAAGCTGCAAACTGGTTCTGTTCATTCTTGCCCCAAAGGGTATAAAGCATCTATCATACTTGAGAGTTCACAAACACTCTCCCAACCACGGTCTCTCAGTTCTGAAGGACTCAAAAGGCTGTACAGTTTCAAATTTCAGTTCTGTCACTTAGAGTTAGAGGCCTTGGGTAAGTAACTTAATTCCATAAACCTTGGTTTCCTCATTTGTTAAAAAAAAAAAAAGAAGAAGAAGTCTGGGCGTGGTGGCTCACGCCTGTAATCTCAGCACTTTGGGAGGCTGAAGCGGGTGGATTATGAGGTCAGGAGATCAAGACCATCCTGGCTAACATGGTGAAACCCCGTCTCTACTAAAATTACGAAAAATTAGTTGAAGAGTGTGGTGCTGGCATCTGGTGAGGGCCTTGTGCTGCTTTATCCCATGGGCAAATGGCAGAAGGTGGAAGCGAACATGTGAGATAGAGAGAGGCATCAGGGGCTGGATTTGCTTTATAACAACCCACTCTCATATTAACTAACCTGCTTCTGTGATAACAACATTAATCCATTCACAGTGGCTCTGCCCTCATGACCTAATCACGCTCTTATTGGGGCCCACCTCCCAATGCTATGGTATTGGGGATTAAGTTTCCAACACATGAACTTTTGGAGGACATGCTTAAAATACTCAAGCCATAGCAGGGTTCAAGGAAGACATGTTCAGCATTAGGACTATAGGAGGAAATGAATAACATGAGTTTGTGAAGTGCAAAGGACATATCTTCCCATCCTTCAAATCATGTTGATGATTGGTTCCACTGACTCTATGAAGGATGGCTTCAGCTGGGAGCTGCCAAGTCCCTTAGGTGTGCACTTGAGGCTGTCCACCTGCCTTCTGAGAGGTTGGAGAACAGAGAAAACCCAACAGCCAGGGCCTCAAAAGTCAGACATATCACTTGAGAGTTGGTTCGGAAGGAAAACAGTAGTAAAACCTGGTATCAGGAACTCCATGATATATATAATATATTTTGGATACATAATATATTTTACTATATGGTAGTACTCATATAGTAAAAATGATCCCTGAACATCCTCAGCCTTACTCCAGGGGCTTTTTGTTGCCTATAAAGTGCCCTGGCATTGCCTGACAATAGATGAGAAGCACATATCCCTCCCCAGTAAGAAGCTGTTTTCTTTTGGGGCCTACAAGTTAAGCTGACAGTAAATGCAAGGTGGAATCAAATTTCTTCCGTCTTGTCACTCATGGCTGTGTTATTTAAGCAGTTATGAAGGTGTTGGTGGTGGGTGTGCGTAAGATGTTGGCAGCTGCGTGGAAGAACTGGAGTACAATGCTGGGACCTTGATGTTCTTTTAACATGAGCCTCATGTTGCATGGAATACAAACCAAGCAGTTTTGCTACGCAGTAATTTCTTTTTTTCTTTTTTTTTTTTTTTTAGACGGAGTTTCGCTCTTGTTACCCAGGCTGGAGTGCTCTCGGCTCACCGCAACCTCCGCCTCCTGGGTTCAGGCAATTCTCCTGCCTCAGCCTCCTGAGTAGCTGGGATTACAGGCACGCACCACCATGCCCAGCTAATTTTTTGTATTTTTAGTAGAGACGGGGTTTCACCACGTTGACCAGGATGGTCTCGATCTCTTGACCTCGTGATCCACCCGCCTCGGCCTCCCAAAGTGCTGGGATTACAGGCTTGAGCCACCGCGCCCGGCCGCAGTAATTTCTAATTGATAAATGTCGAAACGTGTCAAAGCTTTCCCGACATTTTCCAAGAATACTAACTCAGGTGTTTTGTTTCATCTTAGAATTAAAAAAAAAAGATCCCTGAGGATTCTTTAACTCTCTCTTCTCTTAACAAGTTTAGTATGACCATTTTCCCCTCCAATAGGAAAATAGTTTCTTTGATTAAAGCTCATATAAGCAGTTGGTTGCAGGTAGGGGCTATGTTGTAAGAAACATTTAACTTCTTTTTGTTTTTTGAGATGGAGTTTTGCTCTTGTTGCCCAGGCTGGCATGCAGTGGTGAGATCTTGGCTCACTGCAATCTCTGCCTCCCAGGTTTAAGTGATTCTCCTGCTTCAGCCTCCTGAGTAGCTGAGATTAGGTGCCTGCCACCATGACCAGCTAATTTTTGTATTTTTAGTAGAGATGAGGTTTCAACATGTTGACCAGGCTGGTCTCTAACTCCTGACCTCAGGTGATCTTCCCACCTCAGCCCCCAAAGTGCTGGGATTAAAGGCGTGAGCCACTGTGCCAGGCCAGAAACATTTATCTTTAAACAATAGAATCACATTCAGACCAATGAAATGCATACTCTGTGAAGGAGAGAACCAAGACCAGCCATGGAAACAGCACAGATTCATGCTGTCATCTCAGGCACTGCTAGCTGGTTCTTCTTTTTCTTTTCTTTTTAAAAAGATTGTGGTAAAAAACACATAACAAAATTTACCATCTTAATCATTTTGAAGTACATACTTTATACTGTTAACTATATTCACATTGCTGTGCAACAGATCTCTAGAACTTTTTTGTCTTGCAAAACTGACCCTCTATACC